ACTGGTGAAATCTTTCCTAACCTTTCTCTCTTTAATTTCAGTTGCTGCGCTTGTATTGTTTAATTGCTTTGTGATTTGTGAATTGATTAGTAAACTTAATTTTCGAATTAGATAATCTGTTTATTGCGAAAAACTTTCAAAAATCAATTCACCCCCCCTCTTGATTTAAAACTACTTTTCTAACAATGTGGTTCTAGAACAAGCAATAAGTGGTTGACACGCTTAACATGTTTCACATAATGAATCATTGTACCTACATCAATTGGGAAGAATCATTCAACAAATTATCCAACCTATTACAAGCCATGTCATGATTTCTTTCTAGTTTCTACTACTGATTGACTACACAACAATCTCTAACGAGGATAAGATATACTTTGAAATACTCGTCTGGACCTTCAAGTCATGCATTGATGACTTTTAATATTGTAAACCACTAGTCCAAGTAGATAGGACATTTCTATATGGCAAATATAGGAACACCCTACTACTAGTTGTTGCATAAGACAGGAGAAACAACATACTCCCCGTTACATCTGTGATTGTTGAAGGTGAAACTGCAAATATTAAAAGAAAAAAAAAACTAAGGAGGCATGTCACACCTTAGGATAACTTATACTTAATTTCGGATTGCCTCAACTCCATTCATGCAGCGTACATAAAACCTAAGAGTGGATGGACTATGGGTAATTGTATGTATTTGTACTGCATTCAACACATTGCACAAAATTTTATGAGAAGATTGAAGAATGCAACTTTAAACAAAGACCTTACTAATATGGGTAACAACTTATATTCTATATTAAATTTTTTACTATGCAATGTTGTCTATTCTATGTTAACCTTTTTTACTTCAATAAGCAGCATATAATGAATGAATCAAGAGCAAATTACTACTATAACACAATAAGGCAAGCTAATCCAGAAGCAACGACCTGAATTGACGAAATTTGTAGGAACAAATGGGGACTTGCATATGATGAAGATGAGGTTACCTTACAATCAAATTAGTTGAATCCATCAATTTAGTCACGAAGAAAACAAAATTTGTCAATCTCTTCCATGGTCATGGTCACATACACAGGATACAACAAATTCTTCACTGAAAGAGGGAGTCAAATCACTATAATGGTTATAGTTGACCATGTCCATTCAGAAGTTGCATCAAAGGTCTTGTTAGATGTTTATACTAAATCAAACACTCATAAGGTGCTTGAATTCAATAGAAGCAACACAAGATTTTTGGTAGAAAAGATAGTCAACCCAAGAGAAATTTGACCTGCTGAAAATTTTGTCGTTAGACTAGATGAAGTTTGGAGTGATTGTGGGAGTTCCAAAAACTTTATCTACTATGTTTTCATGTGGTTGCACGTGCAAACATATACATCAATCATGTCTACAAGTTGGATGTAGTACAAAAGTTTATGATAATTTATCTGGGGAGTTTAGACACGAAATTATTGATCACCTCACTAAGGCCCTCAACTTTATCACAATTCAACAATATAAAGTTTCAAGGATAGTTTAAAACCATTACGAATTAGGATTGAAATGGATATCCACAAAGAAGACAAGTCAAGAAAATACTCATATTATCAGACTTTAGACCACAGGGCTTCTGCATAATCCTAACCTTAAGGGATCACCTTCTCATAATTAATTATGTTGTATTTTTGTAATATGTCATTATAATAAATAATTATTTTACTTATTTGTTGTTTTCTAATTTTCTTATGTCTCATTGATTTAATACCTAAAATATCTATTCATTTTAATTCAAATTGTATATCTTCCTCATTATCTAATTCAAATTTTTATTTATAAAAAATTTTAACAAAATATTTATACCAAATCTATTTTATATTATATTAAAGTTAAATAAAATAATTTTCAATATAAATATTATATTTATTTACTAATTTTTTTATATATTAAATAAATACTTAAATATTATATATATATATATATATATATATATATTTACTATATCTATAAAAATATGTAAAAATATATTAAATATATAATTATATAAATATTTTTTATTATAATATATATATATATATATATTAAATAAATATATAAATATACATGTTTATATTTTTATATCTAATTAATATAAATATATATATATATATATATGTATATATTTATATTTAATAAAAATATTTATATATTTCTGTGAAAATAATAGAAAAAAATTATTTGAATTTACAAAAAATATTTTATATTAAATAAATACTTAAATACTATATATATATATATTAAATAAATATATAAATATACATGTTTATATTTTTATATCTAATTAATATAAATATATATATATATATATATGTATATATTTATATTTAATAAAAATATTTATATATTTCTGTGAAAATAATAGAAAAAAATTATTTGAATTTACAAAAAATATTTTATATTAAATAAATACTTAAATACTATATATATATATATATATATATATATATATACATACATTATATTATATTTAATAAAGTTATCATCATCTATATAAAAAATATATAAATGTGTATTTATTAAATATATATTTACTATATTTATAAAAATATATAAAAATATATTAAAGATATAATTATATAAATATGTTTTTATGATATATAAATATAATATTTATTAGATATATTTATTAGATATAAATATGTATATTTATATATTTATTTAATATATATATATACATATATTTATATTTAATAAATATATTTTTATATATTTTTGTGTAATTTTTTTTTTAAATTAGTGGTTAAAATTGGAGACCTGAAAACCAAAATCTGACCTGGGCCTAAATATTTGACATAATGCTAGCTTGTAAATACGTGTGAAAAAAAAAATCCGAAAAGGTTCCAGTAGGATGTTAATACTTGAATTAGTGGTAAAAAGACGATTTTTGAGAAAAAGAATATCTTTCATGATTAATTTTTGTCTTGTAAATTAAATTCTTGTAATTCATTCGTTATAATGACAAAGAATAGCAAGTGAATATGCATATTTTAACTTTAAATCCAAGTAACTATATGTTACTGTGAATTATATTTCTTTCATATATATATATATATATATATATATATATATATATATATATATATATGAATGTAAAAATTCTCTTCTCCAAAAATTTGCCTCCCAAAATGAATGTAAAAATAAAAATATACCCAGTTACATCAAAACGGATGATTCAGCGACATACCCAAAGAAACATCAAATTCATTTCATACCAAACATTTGTTTTAACTGAAATAATAATAATAATAATAATTATTATTTCGGTATATTCATAAGTTCTACCTCATCTTAAAAATTAAAATGAATAATATTTTATATGTATTCTCATATCTTAAATTATTAAAAATATATTTTTTTAAAGATAAAATTCTAATAGATAAAAATTCAAAAATGGATAATATTTTGAATGTAAAAATTGAATTCTAATAAAATTAGAATAAGTTCAAATATTATTATTATTTAACTCTCTAAACTTTAAATATTGAACCTCAACTTTCTTCCAATTTATATTTATTATAATTTTTTATTTTATTATAATTAATCTTTAAAACTTATAAATGTTCCATAAATAATATAATATACTGTTTATTTTATTTTTTGTCCCATTATTATGTTTTAAAGTTTGATAAGTGATTTATAAATATAAAACTAATAAATGATTGTAATTTAAAGCAAATAAATAGTTAAAATATTTTTTATTGCTATATATATTAATCAAATTATATTATAAATAATTTTAGAATTAATTAAGATGAAATTGAAATAAAATTTTTTATTTTGAAAAAAAAAGGATATATAGTTTAAGAACCAATTAAAATTTAACATGTTTATTATTTATTTGGAGTGTTTATTTATAAAAAAGACAAAATTTAAGAAAGTCATGCAAATACAAAAAAATTTTATTATTTGTCAAATCTTTTCAACAATCAGAGTGGCGCAGCGGAAGCGTGGTGGGCCCATAACCCACAGGTCCCAGGATCGAAACCTGGCTCTGATAAAAAAGAGTGACTTCCTATTTTTTATATTTTTCACATGTGTTTTTTCAGTTTTTTCTATTTAATTTTAATGGTACAAAAGGCAACTATTATACAAAATAAAATATTACATAAATCAAAGCCTTTATTAGAAGACAATTATTACATGGATCAAGGACCCATCCTGTGACCAGAAAAGAAAAAATATTACATAAATTAAAGGTTAAATTGATATAATCAATGTTTGTAAACCAGACAAGTAATTAAGCTGACAAAAGTTACTGTTCAATTGATAAAATTTACTTCGCCATTGAGTGCATCATTTTATTAGTTATTAGTATACATAATTTACATTATTATTTAATTATAAATAATGATTATCATTATCAAATTTAATAATAAACTTATACAAAATAAACCTATGCTTTTTTTATTTAAACAAATGAAGTAGTCGTTATGATTTGATTACTTTTCTCCTGTTACCTCTTCTAGTAAGGTCCAATGTTACTTTCTGGCTTTAAGTTTGGTTGTTATGTATACCAAATTCCACTTATTATGAATCTTATTTCTCTGAAATCTGTTATGATTAATGGTTGATTTGACTCTTATTGAAGTAAGCTACAAAAAGCCAAAGATGCAATGAAGACAAAGTCAAGTATTATTAGAAAAGGATTTAACCGAGTCTGCATAATTCACGGTAGGGTACGTTTCTGATAAAGATTAATTATTAAAAAACTGATAGATATTTTATAACATATATAAATAAATTAAGATATTGTCATGCCTTGAATTTCCAATTATTATTATATATGATTTCCATTTCTGTGAAAACATTCATGTTGCCATCATCTCTGTTATTAGTCATCTTAAGTTATTTTAGGAAGATACAAGTATTGCATACAAATCTACCTACCATTGCGAAGGTTAGTATTCAAGATCAGACCGATCATCACCCCTTAATTGAGAATTATAATTTTCCAATTCAAAGCTATAAAATATAGTTCATGGTGGCTGTGATTGCTTTACAAACGTTTGCATAACAATCTCACAACCTTGGAACGTAGAGCCATTAGCATGACCGTGAAAACGTGCACCTGTGTTAACAATATTAACACTTGGCTCATCAGAAGCACCTTGGAAGAGGATGTACTCTCTTCCCTCAAACTCACTCTCAGCAAAGCCTCTCATATCTTTTGCTGCCTCTTCTTCTACCACGCGTTGAATCAGTGACCCTCTTTCACATTCGGCTGTCACCAAACTGTCTCTCAAAACTGGACCCTCACATTTGAAAGGGCCTCTAATGTTTGCCCTAAGTCCTCTCTCTTTGTCACACTCAATGATCACATGGTATCTGATATGGGTGATCAGAAAAACTGTATACGAGTGGAAAAACTCCCAAGAAACCTTCTCCACCGAACCAATATTTCCAACTTTGCGCGTCACTTCATAAAAACAACTTTTCCTTCCACACAGGTCGCTCCAAGATTCAGTGCCCATACCTGCTTCCAAGGGTGAACACTTGAAAATATAATTAATACTTTGACTGACTGCATACAAACACTTGAATATGATCATAAACAAGCCGTTAACTCTAGTAATTTCACGAGATATGGAATAAAATAGGATTCCTTAACATATCACAAAAAGAAAAAGGAGAAGTATTGAATAGGGCTCTTCCATCAATTTCTCTAAAACCCAAGTTTTAGGTTTGCTGATAAAAGAAAGTACATGTACTGATAGGTTTTATTTGAAAAGAAAAATCTGATGGCATTTTGAAGAACAAAACCCTTAAAGTTTGGTTGAAGTTTGACTCACCCATGGACTGAGTCTGTTGAGAAGTGCCATCGACGACCACTCTCACCTGCTGAAAGTTGAAACAGTTGATGGTGTCCCTTTGAGCAGTGACCTCCATGTGAAGTAAGCGAACTGGATGATGGTCGCACACAGACTCTGCGACTCTCAACACCACCCTTTCTCCATTCACTCTCAGCCGCAAAATGCTACGCTTGGAGTTGTCAATGATGTGTACGAGAGCGTACTCTTCCGGAAATTCAGCACTTGACCATTTGTGAAGCACCAGACTCACTTCGTTACCCATGATATCTTAGGTTATGTCTGTTCTATAATGTTTATGTTTATGTTTATGTTTATGATGGAGGTTTTCATAAAAGAACGAAGGAAATACTTGGCTTTTATTATTCCCAGAAATTCATTTACACAGCGTTATATAAGAAGGAAGACCAATTCCATTTGAATTCCTAATTAATTATTATCACTTATCAGTTATTAATTACTCTTTGATTAGGTAATGGTCATAATGAAGAGAATATTTTATGAAGACTTTTCTTCCTATTGCTATCACTTCCATGTAATTAATTAATACAACAGGCTATATTGTTAAATATATACCATGGTTGTTTGAGTGTATATATAATTATGATAATGAAGAGAGGAAAAATAGATGAAGAATTTCCTGTTTCTACTTCAACTACCATGAAAGGAGATATTTTTATGCATAATGATAAATGCATGCAAATTGTTTTATACTTGTTACGGAGGGAAATCTAACAATATATATCGCTTTGAAAGTGAATTTTTATGCAATATTATAAACCCATATGCATAAAATTAGTTAAAACAAAATGTAATAATAGTAGCATTCGACTGAATTTTTATATAAAATGTATAAACCTATGCGTTATTAACAAAGTTAAGATAAACAACTCATTTAAGCAATTATGCAGTGCAGATGTTTGATAATCCATATTTTAATTTTACTATAACTTGATGAATTTTTTATCATCAAGGCTCATTTTTTTTTTTTTTTTCATGTGGAAATACCGATGTTGATATAAAAAGAGCACTAAAAACCAATCAAATAAAGACAAAACATTTTGAAAAAAAAAATCACAACGTCATTCAACACGACTATTTCGGTCCAGCCTACCCATATTGTCTGTTGACACCTGTATGACCATGATGGAATGTGAAATTTTATAAATTTTTAAGTTACCCAACACAGTTTGAGGTTCATATATTCGTATTGTTCTCACATGACCATGGTGAAAAGTAATCACCAGTGTTGAGTATAAATGTAGACAAAGTTGTGTATCAGACATTGACATCCTGGATATCATGTTTTATATATATTGAAGGAGAGAAATGCATTGAGAGAAGAGACAAATAAATTGCCTTTGAATTAGCATTACAGATAGATAAGTCAGACCCTAAACTGAATATATCAAATAGTACTACGTAAGATCGTTTTTATATAGTGCATGCAGATTATCACAATTCACAAGGCACAAAGTTATAAATGATAAAACTCATTACATTATATAATGTCTAAGATTTTGAGTGAAAAGTATATTCGTGTCCCATCTACGCGAATCTCGCTATTGTTACCAAACACATTCTTGGTTCAGCTTAGACTTGATAGAGTAAATTTTCATTATTCATTCCAGAAAAGATTACCATTTTAATTATTCATTCCATGTCTTGATTCACGGTTCTGGTGATGAGTTAAAATACGAATTCATAACAATATCACAATTTTCATATTTAGAACCATTACCATCACCATTAAAAGTTGCACCTGTGTTCACAATATTATTCACCACTGTAGCACGTTGCTCGGAACCTCCTTCATAGATAATGTACTCTCTGCCTTTGATAATACCTTCCATCAACTTTCTCACAGCTTCTTCAGTGGGCTTTGTGTTCACCTCGCGCAGAATCAATGAAGCCTCAGATTTTAGTTCTTTCACCAAACTCGTGCATTTAAAAGAGCCTCTAAACTCTGCCCTAAGTCCTCTCGTTTTGTCACACTTGATGATCACATTGAACGCGATGTGGGTAGCACCCACGTAATACCAGTGACAAAACTCCCAATTCACCTTCTCCACGGAACTCATGTTTCCAACTTTCCGCATCATTTCATAGAAACAACTTTTCCTTCCACAAATATCGCTCAAATATTTGTTGTCACAAACCTGCATCCACAAAGTCGGGGAGAATAGCTGTCAGAAATCTCATTCAAGCTTGACTATGCAACACACTTTTTGTGTGATTACAAATAATACGGTAATTAACCGTTACAAATTTTTTAGATTTTAATTTTGAAATTTATTAATATTTACTTCGACGTCGCACTCAATTCCTCTTAATGCAGACTTTTAGTTCAATGGTTACTCACTTCAAGCTAGCTTTTGAGATGCGTCTCTTTCACTTGTTCTTGACTTGGATGCCATATTTGTCTACAATGATGATAGAGGTGGCCATGTTCAAGAATAATCTACTCGACGATGCCCTCGAGAGCGGAGATTTTAAGAGAATCCCTAATTGAAGTTTTGAAGTACTAATCCACTATGCAACTGGAATTATCGGTAACATAAGTTTTGCCAGATTCGTCCAATCTCAATTTGGCGTCATATCCTTCTTCCTTGTACTTCCAGTAGAACTGAACCACCACCACCTCATGGTGAGACCACTGCTACCAAGGCTGTTGACTAGCTTTATGTCAACTTGTCAGAGGCGAATTCAGTTTAAGGATTACGAATAGGACTCATTGGTGTAGCTGATTATTGAGAGTGTAATAGAGTGAGTCATATTTTGTTGGCTAATTAGAAGCATAACAAAATAAAATGGTACGGTAACACTAGATTTTGTAAGAATCGAAAGTTTGTAAGAAACAATGGAAGGAGAGGCAGGATTGAAATTACGGAAATTGCATTACCTTTTATTCTTCTTTTGAATTTTGGATAAGAAAGAATAATAGAAGTAGGAAAATTAGACACTTTTAAAACACTAATAGGAAGGTCGCCCATCAAATTGAAACAAAACTAAGTTAAAAGAAAAATTTCAATATAGAATTGTTTGTTGGCTGTTAACTTTGCAACTCTATCAAGGGTACTCTTCGGCAGAACCCCATACCATATGTTGAACCACTAAGAAGGTCAATCAACAATCTTTTTCAAAAACATGATTAATTAGCGAAGTCACAATTCTTTATTATTTCATATATTCTCTCTTTAAACCAAATTCAATAGGGATGTTTGATTAATGCATGAATACAATGCTTGACTTTGAAATTATATGACATATGCCTAGTGCAATTTCAATATTAATATATTTATTAAATGTTCAAATGACTAGATTGGTATAAAGGCATGATGTTACTAAACTTTATTTTTATTTAGCTCTAATTATGTTTCAAAATTTTGTCATCTTCTTCAACTTGTACACTCAATATGAATGACATTCAAATTTTATTTTTAGTTAGTTCTATCTTTAGTTAGTCCACACCCTTACCCTGATCCACTTGGTGTTTGGCATGCATAAAATAGGTACCATAGCTCATGCTATCCATTTAGATATCCACCAAAAATGAACATCTATATTCAAGCTAACCTTGATAGCCAATAGGTTGATCGCAGTCAAATTATAGTTATTGTCTGTTAGGTTGATAACACATACTGGGTATTCGGTATTTGAATTTAATTTTATCTACATTTGGTTGAGAGACTAAATTGTTGTTTTTAGATACTTTGTTGGAAAGCATGCTTCGGTTTTCCAAGAGCTTAGGCCCCAGGATTTTGATCCCAAGGAGAAGTTCTGGACGAGGTTCCCTCTAGAAGGGTCTAAGTTTACACCTCCTCTGTGGACTATTACTGTCTTGTGTTCAGGTATGCCTAGTGGAGATTTTTTTTTCTGTGAACTTTGTTTGATTGGTATTGTGTATACTAATTATGGTTATGTCTTGGTTGGTATTTAGACATACAAATAGAACTGTTTGGAATAGATCTACTTGCTTGTTATTTATGGCAATGACATTATAAGGGAGATGTCATGTCCTGCCAAAACTAGAATCTTCTTTTGCCTCATTTAAGATGACTAGTTCATGATTAAACCTTGAAGAAGTCTGAAGTCAAGGTTAGTTGCTAACTAGACTTTAAGATGTATTCAATTTGATGAGAAAGAAAACCATAAAATCTATATTTTAGTAAGATAAGGTCTCACTTTCAGTTATTGGCCAACGTTCTTTATTTATTCATTTTTTCTATGGATATTCACCATTTAATAATTAGTTGGTGGCCATGTGATGTGCTCATCAGGATTTTTTCGAGTTACTGTCAACATGTACAAGAATTCATTGTTAACAAAATTGTTTCGGATTCACTGTGTCAAACCTATTGTTGGTCAAATTCTCTTTTATGAATTTTTCTTTCAACTGGTTTACTGTGTATATAAATGCTTGTAACAATTACAATAAGATGAACACTTGTAAACTCACTTGTAAATATTCTATTAAAAATAGATTCAATTTATTGTGATGGACAATGTAGTGTGTTTTGAATATTGAATCTATATGCGATTTGACCTCAAATATTCTGCTTATGATTGAATAACATATAAACCCTGAGAGGAGATTGATGAGATTATAACTTTTAAAGAACTTGATCTTTGTTGTCTTTTGCCCGAAATAGTCTTGGTTTAAAGAGTTAAAATGGTACAAAATCTACTGCTACAATTTTACATATTGTTTTTACTTTAAATATTTTTCATGTTCTAAAAGTTGGTCTTTTGTGTGATGACTTCTACTCAATTAACTTGGTAAAGACTGTGAACTCCTAGAAATTGACCTTCACTCTCAGTCGCACTACATCTCATTTTCAGTGTAAGTAGCTTAAAGGTTGTTTTAAAAAATAATTATTATCGAAATTTATTTAATCAAGAGAATAGACAAAATATCACAACACTAAAAGGGAGAATCCTCTATCATCATTTTTATGAAATTTTGAAATTTGTAGATTTATTAAATTATCCGAATAGACAAATTATTTTTCAAAGTTTGATTTATACTCACCATTGAATTCATTATGTTTAGAAGTGTCATCTGTGATGACTTTCACTGCCACAATTGAAACATTCCAGGTTGTCCTTCTGAGCAGTGACCTCCATATGAAGTGCACGTACGCTTTGGATGAACGTCACAGAAAGAGTTGGAGAGTTTCAATAACACCCTTTCTGAGTTGAAGCTTAAACGGAAAATCTATGCTTGGATTTATCAGTGAGTGAAGTGTATATGAGAGCGAATTCTTGAGGAAATTCCTCACTTGACCATCTGTGAAGCTTCATACTCAAACTTTAACCTATGTTATACCTCGTGCATGGGAGTATATATATATATATATATATATATATATATATATATATATATATATATATATATATATATATTGACATTTCAAATGAATAGTAAATAAATTTTGGTTGAGAGAGAGGGATAACTAACTCTACCTGCAAAAGTTGTTAATGCATTCACATATTTATTCTATATCCTTGATAATCAAACATGCATGAGTTTTTTATTAGAGAAACGATACTTTGACAACCGAAAACAAACAACCGTTAGACAACCGGGGCTAATAAGAAATTAATTAAAAAGAAGGGTTTGATTAGTAAAATTGTAGAGGGGTAGAGATGTAATATTGTAAAAATGGGGGATGTTATCGTAAAAAGTGAAATATATGTTTTGAAGAAGTTACAGTGTTTTTCGCTTTTCACATTCGCTCTCGACTTCTTCTCGCTCGACTTAGGGTAAAATTTCTCCGTCTTGCTCTTCACGGCGCTCGACTTCCTGTCGCTTGGCTTCGTCCGTGTCATTGGAGCTGAACATCACTGTTGCTTGAGCGACCCTGCGGTGGTGAGTGTTCGTTTAACAACATTTGCTTGATTTTGTGATTGGGTTTCCATTGTTGTTTTCTTTTCTGTTTATGTTTGATTGGGTTTGTAATGAAGGTGTTTTTCACGGTTTAGGGTTTATTGAGTTGTGATGGAATATTAATGTCGAACATGTGTTTGATGAAATGCTATAATGAACGTACCTTATTTGCGCATTCTTGCTTTGTTTTCTGTTTATCTTTGATTGGGTTTGTAATGAAAGTATTATGTAGGGTTTAGGGTTAATTGAGTTGTGATGCTATATTAATGTCCAACAAGTGTTTGATGAAATGCTACAATGAAGAATTGTATTTGCATGACAAACATTTTGTATAATATGCACAAGATTTACACCCACGTTTGCATAATTCACAAATTGTCCAAAAGTATGTGTAACATGGTTTGACTTAATTTTTTTGTTTGTACTATTTTGTGATTGTAAGTTACAATTTTAATAATTTGTAACAGGATTAGTTTGGGAAAAAATGTCTGCAAAAAGAGACCGTCGTGACGAAAAAAAGGTATGTGCATGTTAATTATAGTTTTTTTTATGAAAAGTGATTTACTAAATATTCAATTTGTTATATGTTATGTATGTTATATATGTTATACATGTTATATGTGCAGATAAGATTAAGACACAAGATTAAGACAGAGTATATAGCTGATATAAATTCAAAGTTGACCAAACACCAACGAGCAGCTATTGAACAAACTCCGTTTAAATGGCTTCTTCAAATAAAAGAGTCATTGCAAATATCAAGCAATATTATAAGAGAACTAGTTAGTCGATGGTCAGTTAGTGATCATTGTTTTAGAATAAAACAATATCTTGTCCCATTCACCCCTTTAGATGTTTGTTTTTCGTTAGGTTTACGTATAAGGGGGGAGGTAGTTGTTTTAGAAGATAGTGGTTCATGTTTAGTAAAAGATTTATTCGACGAAGAAGAACCAATAACAGTCACAAATATAGTTAGGAAGCTGAAAGGGAAAAAAATGAAGCATGTTAAATATGTAGTTGACTTTTGTAGGCTTTATATCCTACTTGGGTGGGCGGTTTTTTACTTTCCTCGCACATCCCGCACTGTTCATAGTGTTCCTTTTAGTTTATTAGATGATTTAGAGACATTAGATAATTATAATTGGGGAAATGTTGTGCACGATTTATTAGTTAATAGTTTGCATCGTGCTAGTAGAAAGTTAAACGAGCAAAAAAATGCTTCTCAATTGTACGTTACTAGTTGTGTGGCTGTCTTACAGGTAACTTTCTTACAAATGATTGATTTATTAGTTGATATAAAATTATTGTGACTGATGACATTGTATTATGTAATAGATCTGGGCAGTGGAGCACCTGTCTTTGCCTACTGATCCACCACGAAAGATTTGTTTTCCGCGTTTTGTTGAATGGCCTAAAGTGAACATTCGAAGGTCCAAAATAGAACGTGTATTCATCTCAAACAATGTAAGAAATTTTGTGTACAACATATATAAATTTTCCTTAAAAATGTGGACTTATTATATTATGTTCCTAACATATAAAGTTTTCCTTTATATGTTAGATTGTATGGGATTGGGCACTATCTGTGGATGATCTGACAATGGAAGTTGTGCAAGAAGCTTTGACGCATTCACAAATTGAGAATACGGACATACCTTCCTCCAGTGGTGCGTCATGTGACTTGCAACAACTTTTATCGGACCAGCACATATGGAGATCTAAAACAGAAGAAAATCAAAAAAGGATCATTCAACTTGAACGTGAAGTTAAAATTTTGAAAGAACAAATCGGGATTCACATGAATAAGTCATCGATAAAGGTGAAGGGGATTGGTGAGGATGATGACATGTATCAATTGTATAAGTTTTGCACCACCAACCTTGATAATCCAAACCGGTTAGTATATAATCAAATTTATTACATTCATTCAATTTAATTAGTATAAAATGCAATGTAATCCATTATTGTATTTCAGTGTTGTAGTGGAAGTGCATGGGCAGATATTGACTATGCAGAACTTGCACACATTAAAGCCAAGGGGTCATATTGACAATATGGTAAGTTTGTTTATTTACTGAAAAAGTGTGATTCAATAGATTTTTAAAAATTATATTTATTAATATCATATGGGTTGTTAGGTGATGCTGTTTGCAAGTAGTCTAATGATGTATGACCAAATGAATGTCACTGGTGGCAGCATTCAACGTTTTTGTTTCAATCCTTTGTTTGCGGTATGTTTATTGTGCATTTAAAAAGTTAAGTTACACATAGGTTTATTATCATTGATTGTCATTTATTTTTGTGCCTTTTGATAGACACAAGTGATTGAACAAATGTATATTCGCAAAGGGAACACATCGACGTGGACAATGAAAGACTTCTCACTTTTCTATCCAAATACAATTATTCCATTGCAGCAGTTATTAAGTTGTGAATTTGTGAGTATTTATACTTTGCCTAAAATTTATATTTTTGTCAACATAAAATTCAATTAACCAGAGTTTTTTCTATTTCGATTTTTGCTCCCACTCGTACACAATGGTCATTGGTGGTGTTATGTGCTGAAATGTAAGGATAGAGAACTGTTTATATTAGATTCGTTGGGCCATGATAATAGATCACGAAAACCAATTGATAGAGCTATGGTAAATATTTGTTTTAAGTTGTTTACATAGGTAATATTGTTAATTCAGAGCTATGTTTATTTGGTGAATAATGTAATATTGTGAACAGTTGCAATGTTTTGAACATCTATTGTCGTTGTTGGAAACAAAGTCATCGAGGACCACTGGAGAACTTAAGGTTACAAAGGAGGACTTGCCAATTCAACCAAACATGTTAGTATGTTATTATAGTTGAAATTTTGTTTGCAAAATGTTGTATGTAACATGTGTAATAACTACATT